TATTTCACTTCCTTTTACTAACTTTGGACTTAAATTGTTTTTCTCTAATTCCTCGAGGTGTAAAGTAGGCTGTTTATTTGATATCTTTCTTTTTTCTTAATGTAGGCATTTATTGCTATAAATTTCCCTCTTGAAAGATCTTTTGCTGTATTCTATAAGTTTTGGTATATTGCATTTTCACTTTCATTTGTCTTATGGCACTTTTTGATTTCTTCTTTGATCCAAAATTGTTCAGAACTGTGTAATTTACTTTGTACAATTTGCGATTTTTTTTTCATTTTCTTCGTGCTATTGATTGCTAGTTTTATATAGTTGTGGCCAGAAAAGACACTTGATGTAGTTTCAGTTTTCTTAAGTTTGTTAAGGCTTGCTTTGTGGCCCTCATATGATCCAGGAGAATATCCTGTGTGGCTTGAGAAGCATGTGCACTCTAGTGATGTTAGATGGAGTGTCCTGTGTATGTTAGGTACATTTGGTCTATAGTGTTATTCAGGTTTGCTGTTTCCTTATTAATTTACATCTGAATGGTCTTTTCAATGTTGGAAGTGGGGTATTGAAAACCTCTACCATTATTGTATTGCTCTCTATTTCTCCATTCAGCTCTGTTAACATTTGCTTTGAATATATAGGTGTTCCAGTGTTGAATGACTATATATATATATATATATATATATATATATATAGTCATATATATATAAAATAATTATATCCATTTGATGCATTGACTTTTTAATTATTATTACATAATGATCTTCTTTGTCTCATAACTGATTTTGACGGAGAGTCTATTATATTTTAAATAAGTATAACCACTTCTGCTCTATTTTTGTTACCATTTGCATGGAGTATCTTTGTCGACTTTTTCAGTTTTAGCCTGTGTGTGCCCTTATAGCTAAAATGACTTTCTTGTAGGCAGCATATTGTTGGATCTTGGTTTTTAAATCCATTCAGCTATTCTCTTTCTTTTGAATTGAACCTGTGAGTATCACCAATAGATAAAGATTCACTATTGCCATTTTATTAATCGTCTTCTGAGTGGTTTTTTTAAGTTCCTTTGTTTCTTCATCTCTTGCTGTATTCTTTTGTGATTTATTTTTTGTAGTGGTATGCTTTAATTCCTTACTCTTTCTCTTTTGTGTATCTACTATAGGGTTCTTTTGTGTGTGGATACCATGAACATCCTACAGCTATAACAGACTGTTTTAAGCTGATAACAACTTACCAGCAATTACATACAAAAACCACACTTTTACTTCTCTTCCTCCCACATTTTATGCTCTTGATGTCATACTTTACATCTTTTTATATCATGCATCTTTTAAAAATTATTGTAGATACTATTTTTAATATATTTTAAAACTTTTATATTAGAAATAAAAGTGATTTACGTATTACCATTATAGTATTGTGGTAGTCTGAATTTGACTTTATATTCACTTTTACCACTGACTTTTATATTTTATGTTTTCATGTTGTTACTTAGTGTCCTTGATTTTAACTTGAAAAACTCACTTTGATATTTCTCATAGAGCAGTTCTCATGGTAATGAACTCATTTTCTTTTGTCTGTCTGAGAAGGTCCTTATCTTTTCATCTGAGGATAGTTTTGCTATCCTGGTTGGCCATTTTTTTTTCTTTCAGCACTTTGGATATATGATCCTGTTCTCCTTCTAGGTCGTTGGGCTGGTAGGTCTGCATGCAGTCTTTGGCTGTGCGGGGACTGGAACCAAGTTTAGTCTCTTTCAGGATTTTCAGAGGCACAGACAGGAGTTGCTACTGCTGGGTCCCTGTGCCAACAGGACTCTTTGGTGACTATGGCTGGCATGGGCTAGAGCCCAGTTTCAGGACTCCTTTAGAATCTACAGTGTGACTGAGTTTGGCAGGCTTACCCTCAGGGACCTTTGGACTGTGGAACCATGAGGCACTAGAGCTGGTTCATGGGCTACTTCAGGGCCCACAGCCAGCACCACTGTCTCTATACCTGACACACTGGCTGGCATGACTCCTAGGTCCCTCGGTATGTGGTACTGGCGACAGACCCAAAGCCAAATGAGGTTGCAACTGAGTCCTCAGGAGTGTGAAACTGTTTCTAGGTTGGTAGTTGGGACTACAATCAGCAAGTTAACCACCAGGATGTGAGCCTGCCTTTTCAAAATGGCTCTCCTCAGTCTTAAACTGCACCAGATTTCATAGTCTCCTACCTGGATCCCAAAATTCCCTGAAAGGCACTTTTTTCCATGAATGGATGCTAAATTATTGCTGGGGGCAGGGGTGAGATGCATGAGAGACCTTTTATTCTGTCAACATACTGATATCACTCCTAGTTTATACTTTAATTGAAAATACACACCCAATCTAGAGTGTAGTACCCTTTTATCCAAAGATCAGTCTTAAAAGAAGGTAGAGACTGAAGGTATATATTTGGACTTCACTGGCATTTGAAATCGTGGAAATAAATGAGGCTGCCCAGGGAAATGTATAGAGCAAAAATAAGAGAAAGCTGTCATGCATGATCATTCATGAAATAGGCAGAGGGTGGAATTAGTGAAGAAGGCTGTTATATAGACCTTGCTTCAATCTAAAAAGGATTTGAAATAATTTGTATAAATAGTACCACAGTGTTAAAAGAAAACTAAATATAAAAATCAAGGCTACAGAGAAATAAGGCTAATTTAGAAAGATGATGCCTTTGATCAGGATAGAATTGTATACCACATGGTTTTGCATATTTGTTAGATATAGGCATAAATTAGGCTTTGAAATTCCTAGTAGTAGTCAAGGCATTGTGGAAGTGTGATTGGTTTGGAATTCAGAGTATTCATTTAAAAAATAGTCCAATTGTTTAGGATAAGCAGAGTTTTTTGGGGGGTCTACTAAGAGTTGAAAGAAATTTCTTCCCTCAGTACTCATAAAGGGGAAGTTGTGCCATGTGATAATCAGTATCTTCAATGTCCCCTGCAAAATAAACAATATATAGTATTGCTTCTGATAACATCTCTCAGTACAAGCCTTGGTTATAAAAATTATTAAAATGATTCTGTCAGGAGCTAACACAAACCAGTCAAAATACGTACTTTTCTGATAGTGTTTGTTGTGGATGACTTCTCTTAGTTTGTCATAGCTGTTTGTTAAAGTGAAAACAGCTATCTTTTTCTTTCTTAAGCCAGCCACGTGAGTTGATTGAATTGATGACTCAATACCAAGCATTTACAAAAGGAAAAGAGCTTATTTATTGGTATCATGGGTAATGAAAGAAGTAGAGGCATCAGCTCCTATTTCTACTAATCTCCCATCTCTGTTCCAGGCATTCACAAAGAGTAGTATTGTTGGCAACAGATGAGATAGTACTGACTCTTCTTGAATCATGACTTGGCTATGCTGGGCTCTGTCAAAGTTCCTATTTAGGGTATGTTAGGAGAGTGGGCATGAAGATATAATATGAACAGGATAGACATAGTATGCTAATCTCATCATAAACTGGTGGCTCAGACTCAGTTTTCTTATTGGTATTTCCCTCCTCTGGACCATTTTCCTAAGAAGTGAGCTCTTAATTAGAAAATATGCATTTAGAGGAATAGGATCTTGTTTTGGGCTCAATTGCTTTATTTTTTAAAGGAAAACAGAATTTAGTAATATTAAGAAATTATAACACTCTTGAGATTGAGACCTGCTACCCAGTATAAGACTGTTATCCTTACTTTTCTTCTTACTATACAAGCAATTTATTAATACTTGTTCTTCTTTTCTCATATGATAAGGTGAGATGATCACTATAGTATTTTTTAAGAAATTCCCCCATATAGTATGGCTTGATTTAGAAAATTTATAAAACTTTGAGGAACATGAGGGTTTTATATTTTTTAGAAAATTTTCTATGACTATTATTTCTTGAAACTAAGTATTTGGTAAGAATTGGATAAAAAGATGATCCAAGAATATATTCTCTATAGTGAACTTGGATAGAACATTTTCAGTAATGTAGGACAGGACTAGTAAACTTTATGGTAAAGGGCCAGATAGTAAATATTTTGTGAGCTAACAGTCTCTGTTGTAACTACTGAACTCTGCTGTTGTGGTGCAAGAGCAACTTTAGACAATATGAAAATGAATGCCTGCGTTCCAATAAAACTTTGTTGATGGACATTAGAGTTTGAATTTCATGTAACTTTAATGTGTCATGGAATACTATATTCTTCTTTAGGTTGTACCAGTCATTTAAAAATGTAAAAACCATTTCTAGGTAATGGGCCATACAAAAACAGGTGGCAAGTTAAATGTGGCCCATAGGTCATAGAAACAGAACCCCTAATTTAGAGCAAGCAAAGGTCAAATGAGAAGAAAGAGTTAATATCCTTTGGCAAGAATTAAATGTCTCACTCAAGACTTATACCTAAATAGATGACCACCCACCTCTACCTGAGTTGGAATGGAGGAGTTTCTCCAAACAGTGCTGAAATTTCTTTCTAAATTAGTTTTGAAATATACAAGAATGATTTCAAACCCAGAGTTGTGACACATAGAGCATGACTTTCTATAATAATTTTGGCTTATTGAAGATTTAAAAAGCATAGTTATAGAGGTAGCTGAACTGGAAAGAATAGAGATTCAGAATTCAGGAGTGATAGAAATTCAAGAAGTGATCAAAAGAACCAGGCTCTAAAATGTCAGTTAGGAAGAGAAATAAAGAGTGATCACTGAGTTGGACAAATTAGATCATTGGTGATCTTGGGAAGAGTAATTTCATCAGAATGGTGGAAGTGGAAATTAATTTGAAGAGAATAAAAGAATGAATAACTAAGGTAATAAATAAAAAGTATAAGTTGGAAAGTGTGATGGACTTAAGGGAAATTTGAAGGGCAAACAGTATTGAAGGAAGCAGGGATAAGTAGACACTTCACTTGCCTTTTAGGTTAATTTAGTAGCCTTTAACAAGTGATATTTAGAAAGTTTTTTAAAAATGTACTCTTGTAATAACAATGCCATTTTTAAAAATTTTAACAGAAAAATGTACCATGGTTACGTATGTCAGTATAAAGATGTTTTGAAGCAATACAAACTAAAATACTCAGAAACACCTCTTGCACGTGAATATTATGAGAAGAAAAGAGAACATGAAGAAATTCAAAAGAGAGTATTGACATGTACTGAACAACTAAAAATGAATGAAACTATTTTTATGGAATTTCTAGGTATTAACATTTTTATTATATATTGTTTTAACAGTGGTATCTTTATAATGAAATATAAAGAATATAATGACTCAATCTAAAATATTTTGTTTTTCAGTGCCTGCTCCCTTTCCATCACTTACTAAATGGACATTACATATGTATCCACAATAGTAATTCTACTTAGAATTTTTATTAGATAAGTATTATTTCTGTATTTTAATTGTTATTGTGTTTCTCCGGTAAGAATCACATGGATTTGTTTTTTGTTTAATTAAAAAATTTTAGAGTTTACTTCGGAGGTTATCTGTGATTAGTTTTTATATATATGCATGTGATCAGAAACAGGCAAATTTAGTAAGAAAAAAGTGGTATATGTATCTGGCTTTAAGTGACATATCCTAGCAACCAAACCAATGAAAAAGTCATCTTGGCCTGTCTTAGCAAAGAAAAAATTCCAATTAAATAAGTTGATTATTACTTGTTAGGATGGAAGGTGATAAGGAGGTGAGTCACAATTCTGCATTCATCTATAGAAATTCATTGGATACCTGCCTTGTGCCAGATGATATTCAGTAAGATACAGAGTTTTCTTGCAAGGAACTTTTAGTAGAAGAGACAGATGTATAAGCAAATAATTCTGATACAGTAACATTGTATTAGATGCTTAAGTAATTCTTAATTGGTCTAAGTCTCATTTGTTTGTCAAGATCTCCCTAGTGATGAACTTGAAACTTTAATCCTCTTCCAACTCCAGCAATCCTTCATATGCTTTCTTATCAGATTATAATTCCACTGTACTAAGCTTCTTTATCCCTGCATTCTACCTTTCTTCATTCTGCTTCATTCTAAATCCCTTTTACTCCGTTGGTGCTTGTTCTTTCCATGTTTGTATTTTAGCTTGTTCAGTTCTTAGTTGTTCATTTGCTGCCCACTTGTGTTTTAACTTCTCAATGGGAAGGAGCAGAGATTGGTAGATTCAGAAGATTACAGCAGTGATTGAGGGAGTTGGATATGGGATGGGATGAGATGTATAAATGCATGGCAAACAAGAAGAGGTGATGGAGGTAGGGAGAGGATTTAAATGTCTATATCTAAAAATTGAAATTGATACTTTTGATAGCATAGCATTATAAATAATGTTCATCTGAAATTTTATGTTCTAGTATATAAGTCATATTTTAAGGCAGAATAGAAAAAGGTTTGACAGATATTCTGTGAAATTCTTGTTCACTATCCTATTTATTTTTAAATTCTCCTAAATGGATTGTAGATCAACTTAGGAAATTGTAGTAGCTAATAACCATGCAGGATGTCTAGTAAAGCTAAGAAATTCTCTACTTGAAATTGGATCTAAATTCAATTCGAGCAGAAAGTCCAGACAGAAGATCTAGCTCTCTTCTGAGTTCTGCAGGGTATACTGATGAACCTTACAGAGCAAGAAAAGGGTGGGTATTTAATCTTAACTTTGGAAAAAATAAATAATGAAAACACAAGAAGTTAAATTTGGACTTGAATTGATTATATGTTATTAGTCATGCCAAATGACATAATGAATAGGTAAAAAAAAAAAAAAAGCATAAAAGCACCCTGTAAAAATACTTAACTGAAAGAAAAATTCATAAGTAATTTGAATGAAATGTTATATTTAAGCTCAATATATTATATTACATAAGTTGTCAGTTGCCAGATGTTTCTATTATTCTAACTTCTGTTTTTAGAAACTGTTACTAATATTGATTATTGCTTATGTAGAACATATATATAATGTTACCTGATTAATTTATGAACAGTTCCTTAACATATAAGGGTTAATTTGAGATATAAAACACAAGATATTCTTAGACATGCCAACAACTTTTCCAAAATTTCATGTGAATTGAAGAAAGAAGTAGATGAAGTGGAAATGGAAATTAATTATTTAAACAAGGTACGTATTTTGTTATACGTTTCTAATATATCTATTGATGTATAAGTGTAATAGTATGTTACTTGACAGTCTTAGAAGAGGTATTTCCTTTTTTAAAAAGATTTTATTTATTTTTAGAGAGAGAGGGGAAGGGAGGGAGAAAGAGAGGGAGAGAAACATCAGTGTGTGGTTGCCTCTCAAGTGTCCTCTGCCAGGGACCGCAACACAGGCACATGCCGTGACTGGGAATCAAACTGGCGACCCTTTGGTTTGCAGGCTGGCATTCAATCCACAGGGCCACACCAACCAGGACTAGAAAAGGTATTTCTGAAGAGTCTAAATATGGATGCCTATGATAATTTGTTTGCCTCAGATTGCTTTTGGAGTTCAAACGTATTGAGTATATTCAACTCTGGAATTTGGGGACTTGCTTAACATTTTTTGTGGACTGAAGATGATGATGAAAGAACAAGACATTAATAACAGGAATTTAAAGGCATTAACAGAGCTATAAGTGTTCTTAAAATAGAGAACAAGACAGTAAATAGTTTAAAGGACTTAATCTTGAAAATTTATGACTATAATCTTTATAGAACTAGGGCCAGAACTAGTTTAGCCTTTAAGATTGATGGTGCATAATATTTTCTTGAATACATTTTTAGTGCCATAAATTGAAATGTGGCTTTCATTGACAGGTATGAGGATCCATCAAAATCCAAAATTTCCCAGATCTAGAGAAAAATTTAATAGCTAATTTTCTAAATTTTCTGAAAAATTGTGTTAAAGATGGTATATTTATCATTCATAGTAATGCCAAGAAAGTGGGTTTGATTTCCTTTAGAGTATTAATGTATGGTAACTCTGTCTGTATGTAGGGAATCTATTTCTGCTTCTGATTGTCATTTTTAAAAAAGAAAGTGGCAGTTCATTGAAATCTAGGTTTGCTAATGAAGTTGTAAGGAAAAGTTAAAGGAGTAGGATTTATTGTTAATTTTACTTTGTTTTAACAACTTTCACTAAACAATAATACTACCAAGAATATAAATCTTGTGATTACATAGAAAAATCATATTTATTAGTTAAGATAAAACATATGTTCCTTAATACTTTGCAGATAATTATTTTGCTTTATCATTTTTCTTTTTAGCAGATTGGAAGACTTTGTGAAACTAAGAATCTTTCAGAAACTCTGGAAGAAAAAGCTAAAAATATAGAAAAAAGAAAGGAATTGAAAGAAAGGCATGGGTAAACTTTAAAATGGAATTTTATGTGAACAAATATTCTGCATCTAACATTTTTACTCTATATTCTATCCCAAGCCACTAACATTTACACAGTATAGATATACATATTCTTTTGTGCAGGCTATTTTCTATTCATTTCTTATGAAAAAAATTTATACTTTTAAGTATTATTGACTAATTTTCAAATTTGCTTATTTAGTAAGGCCAAGGATAATTTGTAGAGAGAAGTAGCCTAGCAGCAGCATATTAACTTTTCTGTAACCTGTCAGTTGTACATTTCATTCAGTTTTCCATGATGAGTCACTAATAACAACAATGGTGGGAGTAGCAGAGTACTTATCTTTTTATCGCCTTTTCACTTGTTTGACCAGTTCTTCCCACCAGAGAGTAAAGATGAGCCAAAATGCTACTGAATTGTGGCATATATATCTCCTTGTCATTCATACTATGGTGATAAAATAGACATCAGTGGTGGAGGCATTTTTTTTTAAAGATTGATTTTGTCTGTTATTGTGTGTGATGGAAAAATAGATGTATTACTGTTGCTGTTTCCGATAAACTTTCTATTGTTCTCTTCTGCCTCTACCCTTTATTTCCCTCTTGAATTCCTTTCCTCAGGCTCCATTGCTCTTATCCTGATTTTTTGACCCACTCCTCTCCCATCTTAATTTCCCTGATGCTGCTTTCTTGGATCTGTTACTTTCTTGATCCCTCCACTTCCATGCTTCACATTGTAATCAAATGGATTAGAAAAATAGGTAAATGTACAGAATTTTACTTTTTTGACAAATTTTTAATATTATAAAAATTGTTTATATTGAAAGGAAGTTATGTAACTAGACATTTTTACTTAAAATGGATCTTGATAGTTATTATAAAATAATTATTTAACCATCAATAATTAAGTTGTTTAACTTAGGAAAAACTCAATGAAATTATTTTTCCAGTGAAAAAGTTAAAAGACTTGTTTATGGTTATAATATTGCTTTAATGGTTTCTATATTCATGCTAGTTGATTTATTTCTAAAGTTTTAAGTATTACAAACTCTAAAGCATGCTATTTGTAGATAAAGTTTTCATTTAAAATACTTTTTGCATGTTTAGAAAGTTTTTAAAAATATGATTGTTTTTAAAATGAGAGTATGGTGTACGGAGAAGAGCGCTGGACTTAATCAGGAAAGGGGTGTTTTAGCTGTGATGCCATTAAATAATGTAATAATATTGGGTAGACCTGTTAAATTCTCTGGAACTCAGTTTTATCTTTGAAATAAGGAAGTTTAACGATATAGTATCTGAATATCTCTTCTATCTTTATGTTAATTTCTTTTTCAGAATTTTTATTAAATTTATTGGAGTGACATTGGTTAATAAAATTATGTAGATTTCAGGTGTACGATTCTATAATACATCATATGTATATTGTATTGTGTGTTCACCACCCAAAGTTAAGTCTCCTTCCATCAGTATATGTTAATACTTAATGTAATTCATCTTCTCTTTAGAATTTTTGAAAAAGATGAACAACACGCATTGAATAAAACCTCTCAGAAAAGTCAATTATCTCTTCCAAATGAATATCAGAAATTAGTCAGACCAATAAATATTTTATCTTCAGAACAAAGAGTTATAGGTACAGTATCTCAATATTTACTTTCAAAAACTTAGTTTTATTTGCAAACACATAGAAGAAGAAATAGAAGCAGCAATGTTATCATTTGGTATAACCAAGAACAAAAGATACTAGAGACCAATAGACTCAGAAAAGTACCACTTTGATTTTTTCTGAGAGCAAACAATATATGCCTTTCATACTTAACTTTTTTTTCTCTTTGAAAGAGAAAAAACACTTAAAAAAGTGTTCTGATCTAGTTGCATAGACATCAGAGGATGACTAATTATATATTTTTCATTTGAGAAGTTGTGTTGTAATATATGTGATTAAAAGTGGGTAGCTGCCTTGTGTTAATGTTATTAGTGACTGACTGAAATATTTGAATCATGATTCACTCAAGAGATGTGCAGATTAGATTAACTATGTTGTATTTAAGTACATTGGCTATTTCTCCCCTCTAGTTATTATTATCACCACTTTATTTGGTTCCCCATTACAAAGATGTAGTTTTGCCAGCTGGTTTTCATTTTATGTTCATAGTTATTGTAATAACTATTATGTAATGAAGAATTAAGATTTGTGTAATAATTTCATAATTCTGTATTTTAATTTGAATTAAGTATTTATGTGACTGGATTTTTTTAAATCACAAGGTAGGGTTAAATTTTCGGTATGATATTTTATTCTATTTCTGGAATTGATTTGAAGTTGTGCAATTTAAAACCCAGATAAAAAAGAAGACAATTTTGTGAAGCAGTCAAAGCTTCCTAATGTTGACTTCAAACAGAAAGAAAACAATATACAGGTAGGTATTTCTTTTTTATAGTAAAACTTAAATACTTGCATTAAATGAGGTAGTGAATATATTGCATTTGAGGCGTGTTCTCTGTGTTTGTCTGTGTGTTATAAATATAGGGTCCAGCAGAAGTAATGCCTGCTTGAGTGTGGTTGGTAGGGTGGTAATATAGGTGTAATAATTTTTAGTTTTAATTTGAACATTTCACCTAAAATGTCATATGATGTGCTTGAGTATGATACTGTTATGTTACAGAATTACATGCTTATGATTGTGTAACAGAAATAAGGGGTGTTATTTGTGCCAAATCCTGTATATTAAATCAACTCTTAATACAACCTCAGGGTCTAATAAAACTTGAATTTCAACATGGCAGCCTGAGCATATACTATAGCCTTCTTATATACTCCTAAAAATAATAGAAAGATATTTTAAAATACCAAACTCTGTACCTAGTAGATCAAAAACTGTGAGGCATTCCTGAAGGAAGAAAGTAGGATTGGATTGAAGAGGGAAATTGTGGCCCAGGACTTGTGTAGGAGAATACTCTTACAGAAATTATAGGCCTGAGAGCAAAGATCAATTGATTGGGTGACCTTGGTGGTCATTAGTTTAGTTAATACCTGTTCATCTCATAATCCATCGGCCTTTGACCGGGCATCAGAAATGGCATGACTGTCTCCATGTGAAAGCAGTGAGTATAGGAGCTTGGGTTAGAGAGAGATGGTACTCCGGTTGGTTCTTGATTTGTATGAAGAACAAGGAACATACTAGCCAGAAAGCTAGCTTCTGGTTGGCACATCTCTCTTCCTTCATTCTTCCTGAAGATAGTCCAGAGGGAAACTCTCAATGAAAAATATAATTGTTTTCCATTAACTCATAATTAATACACACAGATATAGAGTAGTGGTGACAAAAATAATTAGTGGAGCTTGTTAATTCTAAATATGTATTAATGATAAAAGCTTAAAAATCTCGTACTAAAATTCCAGATGATATCAATATGGGATGAAGGTGGGAAGATAAATGAGGGAAACAAGTTTATTCATGTTCTTTTTTGTTAGAGGATGGAACTAAGGAGAAGATACAAACACTAGTTAACTCTATGTATTGCTGGTAAAATGTAAAATTAGGCATGTATGTTAAACATTTAAGGGTAACCAACAGTAGAGAAATGGAGTGCTTAAGTTTTAAAACAGTAGAATAAAAGATGAGACAAAGAAAAATCAGTCCAGCAGAAGGCAGGAATGAGGAAAAATAAAACAGCTAGAAAGCATTTTAAATAGAAAACAAATAGGTATCAAAAATAGTTCTGAACAAATTAGGAATAATAAAAGTGTGACATAGGTGCTTCAATGGAATATGCAAATGAAATACAGCTATATACTATTAAAACAGAACAGATAAACCAACTTGACAAATGAAGGCTGACGATAAAAGGATGGAAAATATACATCAGGCAAAGCAAACAAAACCAAAGTAGATGTAACTACACCATATAAGTAAGATTAAAGATAAAAAAATTAGTAAGGATAAATATATTTCATATTTTTACAAAGAATAATTCACCAAGAAGTCATAACTATGATGCACCAAATTATACACTTTCAAAATATATAAAGCAAAAAGTGAAAAACTTTCAAAGAAAATTGAATCCACAGTTAAAACAATAACTCTATCAAAAAAAGTGCTGAGTTTAGGGATTTAGTTTGGCTATATGTGAAACAATGATAAAACCAAAGCATGAAATAATAAGGTTGAACAAGATAAACATTTTTTTTCTTTTGCCTGCCATGAAATTCTAAAGTAAGTGACTCAGGTACACATATCAGGGGTGATAGCACCATCACCGTTATTTCATTATTTCTCAGGATCCATCTCCATTTTCTTTTCCTGCTATCCTTAAATGCCAAGCTTTTGCATCAAGGTCACATAATGGTCAGAAGCTTGACCATTTCAACTTTGCCATGATATCTGCCTTCTAGGTAGCAAAGAAGGGGAGAAAGGCTAGGTGATTAAAAGATTTTAATATGGGATTTGATTTGTATGAAGAACAAGGAACATACCAGCCAGAAAGCTAGCTTCTGGTTGGCACATCTCTCTTCCTTCATTCTTCCTGAAGATAGAATCCCATATTAAAAGATTTTTCCAGGAAGCTCTTTAAGCAATTTATAATAATGTTTCATGGCCAGAACTTAGTCATAGGGCAACCTCTGTCTGGGGAAAGATTGAGAAACATAGGAGGTTTTGTCTTTGTTTATGTTTTATAGGGAAAGTAGATTTTGACAGGATAGATAACTGGCAGTTTCTGACACTGGATAAAAATCAAGTAAGATAAAAAATAAGTAAGAATATGCAGGAGTGTCCAACCTTTTGGGATTTCTGGGCCATACTGGAACAAGAAGAGTTGTCTTGGGCCACACATTAAATACACAAACACTAATGAAAACTTTTCAGCAAAAAAAGTAAAATAAAATAAAAGTTTTAAGTAAATTTACGATTTTGTGTTGGGCCACATTCATAACCATCTTAGGCTGGGCTGGATACCCCTGAGAGGATCTGAATAACACAGCGAATTTTGTGTCTAACATACACAGAATTCAGTTCAATTTTCATTTGCAGTATTCACCAAAATTAACCAATTAATATAACAAAAAGGAAAATTACACTAATTCTTAAAGTAGCTATCTTTACTTTTCTCAAAGACTGTTATGATGGGTTAGCATTAGAAAATATCGGTGTGATTCACTACATTAACAGATTAATAAATGACTTTAAGTAAAGATTTAAAGTAAGAGATTAAAAAAAATGTTAGGGGGACCCATACTACCAGATATCAAAATGTTTATAATGTTTAAATTTTTTTTACTTTTGTTATTGAGAGAATTCACATATCATAAAGTTCACAATTTTAAAGAGTAGGATTCAGTGGGTTTTAGTATATTTACAAGACAGTTTAAGCGTCACCACTGTCTAATTCCAGAACATTTTTATCATCCCAAAACACTGTGGAAGAATAAAAGACAAACTTACTAGTGGACTACCTCAAAATAAAAAACTTCTGTATAACAAAATACACTAACAGAGTTCAAAAACAGTGATGGTATGGGCAGGGGGATTAGTATTCAGAATATATAATATGTAAAGAAATACATAATAATTCTTACAAATTAATAAAAAGTAAAAATGGGCCAAATATAAGGTAGTTTACAGAAAAGGAAAGACAAAGGGGCACTAAAGATAAGATGCTGACCTCAGGGGAAATGCAATTAAACCAAAGAGAAACATTTCACCTATCAGTTTTCAGACATCAAAACATTTGTTACTATCTAGGAGTATAATTTGGTGCAACTACTTAGGAGGACTGATTCACAGTACTAATTAAAAATACAAATGCACATACTCAGCAGTGTCACTTCTTGGTATCTGCTGTAAACAAATACTTAAAATATTTGTACAAATACTAGGAGACATATACAAACATGTATATTATTTAAAACACACAGCAAAAAAACATTTATTTTTTAAGGAACAGGTGTTCCTTAAGGACAAGGTCTTTTTCTATGATGTGAAAGCACATCAAGATGACAAAATTAAGACCAGTGGCTGTTAAAACAAAAATAAATGGAATTAACTTTTCTATGAAAGACATTTTCATTTTGGGTCAAATAAGAAAAATCAGGAACTCTTCAAAATGATTGAATCAGAGAGAATTAAAGACTTGAAACAGACCATAGAAACATTACTAAAGCAGTGGTTTAAAAATTAATATTAAACATAATTTAAAGTTAAAAATGAAGCATTAGCTCATGTCATACATGTATAAAAAAGAGAGTTTCAGGCTTTAATCTTTTAACCTGATGTTTCACTTTCCTGTGCTCAGTTTGAGAGGTTATAGAGGATAGACACAGATATCAGGTAATTGGTTGAGAACATGGTAAGATTGACTTGATTAGCCATGAATATGGGATAAAATATTAAAAGGTTTACCTTAAAAGGAGAAACACTACCAAACATAGTTAATATACTTGTCACAGACATCAAATTCCTTGAGAGTTATATCTTTAATGTTTCCCAGTGCTTCATTTAATGTTTTATACAGAGTGGTTTCAGTTAATGTTTATAAGTTGTTGTCGATAACGATGGTGATGATGAGAGTAACAATGTTCTTGGGGAGAGCTCTGAGTAGCCATGGCAAGCTAAAAAATTTTTTTGTTTTTTTTGTAGCCATTTCTAATGCCTGATTTCTTTTCTTCAGGTATTTAATGACTCTGCTATGAATAACCATTCAAAATGTTCCCATGTTACGGCTGTTAAAAGTTCACAGAATTTTATGCAGTTCAGGTAACTTTTAAAAATAAGAAAAGAGCAAGCTGACAGTGACCAGAGAGGAGGGGGGTGGGGGATAACGGAGAAAAGAAGGGGAAGGGGCAAGCAAAGGATCATGAATAAAGGACTCATGGGTACAGACAATGGGGGAGGATTCACTGTGGGAGTTGGGGGGGATGGGAAGGGGTGAGCAATGGGCAGGACAACTGTAATTGAACAACAGTAAGTAAAATAAATAAAAATAAGAAAGTGCTTTAATTTCTGATATGTATCAATTCAACAAGTAATATAAAAATTATATTTATTGTGTTTTAGATTGTTAACTCCACAGAAACAGTCAAATTTCTATCAATGGATTGAAAAAGGAGATACAGGTATTTGCTATTTATGTTTTTTCTAAGACTTGGAAGTAACAAATTATATCAGGTTTTTATGCTATTCAAATAAATTATTTAGATTGTTTGCATCTCTGGTTAACTGACCATGCATGCCTGGTCTTTAAATATATTTTTTTCGTAAATATAAAGCAAATGCATTTCATTGCAGAAAATTTGGAAAACATAGAAAAACATTAAAGATACCAAAATACCACAACACCACTACCACCCAGACATAACCAACTCTGTACATACCCATGTACATTCTTGATTTTTTTCTTATGCATACATATGTTTTATTTTACATTTCCCCTGCAAATTTGAAGCATGCTATGTATATCATTTTATATACTTTTCTCCCCACTTGATATACTATTGTTGAGGATAGATTTCCATACCATTCAGTAGAATTTATTTGTAATAACTGTATAATATGCCATTGTATATATATTCTATAACTTACTTAGCCATTCTCTCACTTTGAATATTTTGTTGTTTCCAGTTTTATTACTATTAAAATAATGCTATCATATTCTTTTACCTAAATCTTTTACTGTCTTGTATTATTATCTTTCAATAAAATCATAGGAAGGTCACAGGATATATATGTATTAAGTTAATCGTCCTAGAAACAACTAGCTGTTGGAACTTTGACACACCCTTAAAAATACTAACTCATTCTCTGTCTCTGTGTATATATGTATATATTTTTAATATATCATACACATATATATGCATATTTTGGTAACCCAGTAACATAATAATTACTCCACTCATAGGCTATATTGAAGTCTTCACCCCTTCTTGTCTATAGCATTATTTTGAAGTTTTAAAAATGGCAGGGGAAAGTGGTTGCAGGAAAATGGAGACAAATGTATTTGAGCAATAAAAAATAAAATAAAATAAAATAAAAGTTAAAAAATATGGCTCATTCTGGCAGTATAAAAATTCTGTACATATATGCATATTCAGAATGATCATATACTATTTCTCCCACTCTCGAAATAGGATTCAACCAATATAATATGCTTATTTCATGTAGATGGATATTTTTCCTGCTTTCTTCCAGAATAAAGAAATATATCTTACCTACATAGGTGATCTGTTCCACCTATTTGTAATCCTCTATATATGCCAAACTGACAGAGTGTATGTATCTCTAGAAACATACATTGCGAATACACTTATGTGGGGAAATGCATGTATCTAGTGTAGTCCTAGTTGCCATGGAGCAGATCTGGTGAGGCTTCATACCCAAGAAGGCATATAGTTACCTCAGAAGAAAAAAAGGCTCTGTTCAGTAATTTCCTAGCATATTTTTGAAGAAAGTTTGATAAATTTGGCTATATTATGACTCAGAATTTCTATTCACCAAAAGACATATAAAAAGAATGAAAGCTAAGTCACCAAGTCATCAAAAGACACTATAAAAAGAATGGAAGGCAAGATGATTTAGACTGTCACAAGACTAGTTCCCAAAAATCTATAAAGAACTTCTATGAACCAAGAAGAAAAAGATAGACAATGCAATTGGAAATATGTGCAAAATACACAAATAGGCACTTTAAATAGAGAAATTTTTGTGGCAGGTAAACATCTGAAAAATTGCTCAGCAAGTCAATAAACTTAAAAATAAAACCACAATGAGATTCCTTACACACCCACCACATTAGTAAAATTCAGAAAGTCTGACAATACTGTGTTGATGAGAATGTAGGGCAATAGGAACTCTCATAACTATTGGTAGGAACTGCCATTTATAAATGACCATATATTGATGCCACACCTAAATTATAATTGGAGCTAACAATTTTGTATGGTGAAAATTGAATGACTTGCTAGGGTGGCTGAGGATGGTCAGTTGCAACAACAAAAATTGGTAAACAGTTTGGAAACTAAACTTTGAAAATAGTTTAACATCTGGTAAAGTGGAAGATACACATATCCTATACCTTGTAATTCCACTCCAAGGTATATACCTAGAGAAATACAAATACGTACATACAAAAGAATATTGTATTATCATTGTTTGTAATAGCCTCAAAGCAGAAACACCTCAAATGCCCATTTGCAGTGGAATGGATAGATATATTGTATTGTGTTTGGACGATGGAATACTTTACATCAGTAAAAGTAAGTAACTATGTCTAGGTGTAACAATACAGGTGAATCTCCCAAGCATATGCTAAACAAAAAAGCAAATAAAGAGCACATACTATTTCATCATGTAATATTTTAACACATGAAAAGTAAATTATATTGCTTAGGTGATATATAAAACAAATCAAGAAAATGATTATTACAGAAGTCAGGATTGTGGTTACATATGAGGAGGGGGATATATAAAGAATATAGGGCCTTTTGGGATATTCATAATTTTGTATTTCTTACCTGGATGGTGGTTACATGGGTGTCTTCTTTACAATTTTGTTCCTTAAACTGTTCATATAGGTTTTATGTATTAGGTTGAATTACATGAAATTGCCATTTTGTAGATCAAAACAGTTAAATATTGGCAATTTCATATGGTCTAATATGTTTTATTTATAATTAAATTACAAAGAGAAAATATAGTTTGTTCTCTTCTAACAAACAGATGCTGGGACAGATGGAGGTAAAGGGACAGTAGGACAAGTGAAAGAATTAAAATGTACTTCACAAGTAAGTCAAATGTTTAAAATATTGTTTACATTTTCATTTCAGGCTTGGTATAATGAAGATTATTTACATGAGGTGTAAATGATATTAGCTTAGTAATCAAGTTGCTATGGTGTTACAGAATCTATTCCTTAGAGGAGTTTTAGAATGAAAAATGAAGCTACAAAAAATTTACATGAAAATACAGTCATTAATAATTGAATACAGGTATATTTGTATATATACACATACATATATATGTGTGTATATATACACCACAACTAAATCGTATCTAAAGAAAATGATTTTGTTTGGTAATATTGAACAATTCCAGACCAGTGGTTACCATAAAAATATCTTCATAATATTTTTTAATAATGGAAATCTTTTAATGATGATATGTGTAGAGAATGTATACCAGTTCACCATACTAGAGGTTAAAACAAGAGAAACAAATTGGTATTTACCAAATTGTCACAGGGAAGTAAGTAAAGCATAGGAAATATAGTCAATAATATTGTGATAACTATGTATTGTACCAGTTAGCGTACTGGAAATATTGTAGGAAACACTAGTAAAGTATATGATTGTCTAATTATTAAGTTGTACACTGAAAACCAACATATAATAAAAAATAATAATAAATAAAAATTTAAATAAAACAAAGGGGACAACATAGTATGTTGTTATAAAGAAATATAGGTAAAAATTACATTTAAATTTTTTTGGTGGAGTGACCCGAACTGTTTCTGTAATGGAATTTGGTGTAACAAACATACTTTAGAAATCACATTGGTAGCATACAAAATAACGTAAAGGAAAATTAGTTATTCAAGTTCTCAATCTTTGCAGAAAAAGTTGTATAATGAATACATAGGGGCAAAAAACATAACCAATGAGAGCAAAATTGCTTAGAAACAAGTTACTTTTCCCTTTCAAGGAGGTAACATATACAATTCTTGACCCAGAGCATGATGTGGAAATTTTATCTGGTTATTGTTTACTTTTTCAGGTAGGAGTAGGAGAGGTGGAGCTGGAAAAACAATGAAAAATTAGAAATGAAAAATTTTTTTCTGTTTTTTTGACTATTCTTATTTTACTTATTTTACCTATGAAATGATAACACCATACATTCATATGGTACTTTCTACCTCACACATTTTTATGTATGTGAATTTATTAATGCCATAACATTCATTTTTATAGTTTCTGTTACTTTGAATTTGCAGGTTATATCTGAAGAACATTGTGTGAAGCCAGTAGAAAATAATGATGAAATAGAAGAAGGGGCTGAGAATTTTTCACGAACTCCTGAAATTCCTTTATTTTTAAGAACTCCTGAAGCTGTGAAAACACCTGAATCTCTGGATAAATTACTGTTCCCTAAAACACCCCCATTTGAAATGTAAGATTTTAATTAATAATTATAGTTGAAGAATATATGTATTGAGTTATATAAATAATTGATAGGAATAATAAAATGCCTAGTACCTTTAAAAAGTTTTTATTATGGAATATTCATTCCATATACACAAAGGAGATAGATACTAGTATAATGAGCCTAGGTACCCACCCTAATTGAACAATTTTTCAATTATTAACATTCTGCCATTTGTTTCCTATATCCTTTTCCCCCTTTTTCCTATGACATAGTTGAAGACAACATAGATCCTGAGTACTTACCTAGTGCAATAGTCTATATATTTAAGATTTTCCAAAGCATAAAAAACCTACAGAAAAATTTTAAATTCCAAGCTAAAAAGCTACTATCTAATGTGGTATATTAGCTTGTGGACATCATTGTGGACATCATTGACTAATAGTCCAGCAGTAATTTTTCCTTCTGTTGTAGTGTCTAAAGCAAGAATTGCTTTCTATTAGGTAACTTAAGTAGGCATAAATATCTCTAAAATGATTAATTTTGGAAACCACAGATTTGTAGTTTGCAGCCAAGAAAATAGTGCTGCATTTTGACCCCTTTGTTTAGTTCACTCCCTTTCTTAACGTGGCTCCTGAGATTTATCTAAAACACATTAAGCAGATTTCACTTCATCAGGAATCCCTCACCTGTGTCTGCTATATTTTAAATTGCTATGAAGAGTTTTCTATATGTGAATGTAATGCTGTTGAACATGTTGACTGAGCATGTTCAAAGTGGAACTCATCATTAATCTGAGAAGTGCAAAAAAAAAATGTGGCAGTCATATGCTAAAACCTCTTTGTATAGATGAAAAAATTGATCTTGGACTCTAATGGTCATGGAGTTAGTTAGGGAAGTTATCTCCAGACCTCCGTGATATTTAACAAACAATAGCACTGTCTATGAATTTATAAATATTGCTCATTTAGGATTCACAACAACTTATGAGATATAAGTACCTTATAATTCTTATAGATGAGGAAACAGAATTACAGATGGTACAACTCGTTGGTGTTAGAGTTGAGATCAAACCCCAGACAGTTTTGCCACCAAAATCCATGCTTTTAACCACAGTATTAGGTACTGTCTTGTCTAATTATTTTTCCCAAGGCATTTTGTTCTTAACTCCTTATGCAACAATCTGGAATGGCTGGCTTCTCATCATAAAATTTTGTGACTGGCTTTCAAGACCTACAGAATCAGGGTTAAGAGTCTGGCCTTTGAATCTGGATTGTAGCATTCAAATTCCAACTCTGGCACTTACTTTCTTTCGAGCAAGTCATTTAACCTTTTTATGCATCAAAATCCACTTCTGTAAAATCAAAGTGATAATGAAAGTGCCTATTTTATAGGGTCATATTGATGAATAAAGTTAGTGGAGAGTGGAAATACCTAGAGTAGATCCTGATAGTATAATCTCAGTAAGAATTATTATAATTTCATAATTCATTTTCTACTTTATTTAATATTATTCTCCACCTAAGCCATCTTTTTCTCCATAGGTTTGTCACTTCAGTAGCTACTTCCTTCCTTTCCCTACTGTGTCAGTTCTCACCTCTATGCCAGCAATTTTCAACCTGTGTGCTGCAAGAATTTTTAAAACATGAGATACTTGACTATTTAGTCAGGGGCACTGACCTTTTATCCCCTTAGATTGTCAAATAAAAAAATGACAACAGCCAACAGAATAGTCATCTGGGGTGAATGAATCAAAATTTTACCAATGGCAAAAAATGTATTTTTGGTGTGCCAAATTTTAATAATTAGTTTACGTGTGCCATTAGATGAAAAAGGTTGAAAATTGCTGCTCTATGCCATTTCTGATGATACTTACCAGTCTGCAATATTTAGTAACTTATTTTTAACATTTTAGTGATTTCTTATTTCTCTGTAACAGAAACAGAAGTACTGTGCCTGAAGATCAGACACAAAAGGAATCCCCAGGGACTTCTTTTCTTATGAGTTATACTTCTAGATCACCTGGATTGAATTTATTTGATTCTTCTCTATTTAATTCAGAAATCTCATCTGATAAGGTAATATGAGCAGCTGAAGTTTTGTTTCTAAAAAATCTGTACACTGGAACCTCAAGTAATTTTAATTCTTTATGACCAAACTATCTTGCGGCAGAGGCAATTTTTTTAAAGATTCTGAATCTTTAAATGAATATTAGGTAAGTGTAGTCTATTTTTAGCCAAGTTTATCCATTATCTTCTTCAGGTGCCCCAAATTGACATCTATTTATAAAAAAAGAATCTCAGAATAGGAATGATTTGAATTGCAATTAAAGGCAGTTTAAAAACTAATTTGGCTTTAAATTTCATATGTTTAACTTCTAAACAAATTTCCCATATTAGTATAAAAACTCCAGATTATTAGCTGGTCTTTTTATCTATATGTGTGGTATATAGCAACATTGGTTAAAATTGGTTAATTTTAAAAGACCTGAAGAATTTCCATCTAATAGTGATTTCTCCTGTTCAGTGATAGAAATGATAAAGTACTTATTTCTGTGTTTAGCAGTTGAAACTGAAAATTAAGAATATTTGATTAGTAAAAGCAGCATAGCACAGTGGTTAAGAATATACCCTGAAGCCAGACTACTTCGGTGTATACTAGATGTGGGATTTTAGGAATTATTCTCTGTTTCTTATCTGTAAAATGGAAATAATTTTTACTGTAGGGTTTCTCAATATCAAAAGGGTTTATGTATATAAAACACTTAGAAAAGTTCTAACCACTTAATGCCATAAGTAGCAATGTAATGTAATATAAATATTATATTGTTATGCTTATTTAAGTTAGTCACAGTTAACCAATTTTATGTGGGTTAGAATATTTGATTCTTACACCTACCACAGAATATTAAATTGTTGAAATTACAAATTTATTGATTGATTATATGGCATTATTATACATTTTGTAGTTTATGTCTTCAACTTTTATCTCAATTTTTATCTAAATGTTTATTTCAAAAACAATACCTAGAAGGTACATACTACACTTACTTAATATTCACCTACAATAGTAACATAAATGCAAAGTAACTGTATGTAACCTTAGCAGGAAACATGTACATTTGGATGAAGAAAAAAATACATTGAAAAAATAATTGCATGTATCAAAAGATATATGAAATACCTGTATATGAAGAAAATATTATAAATATATATTTCTTCCCCCAATAATTTATAAATGTAATCCAATTCTAATTGGACTCCTGGCAAGCTGGTTTATTTTTAATTTTTTTTGTTTTGATATTGCAGTGTTGGGGTTGGGGAACAAGACTGGCAAATAATTACTAGGTTTCCTGGTCAAGAATAATAAAAAAAATTCAAAAAATAAGATTGGTAATAAATTAAAATGGAATTCTAAGAAAACATTTAACCCAAAAGAAAGCAGAGAAGGAACAGCATAACAAGAAACCAAGGGAACAAACAGAAAACAAATAATAAAATGTTTGATTAAAATATGAAATTTTAACATAATTACATTTCTATAAATGGACTAAACACTCTGATAAAAGGCAGAGATTATAAGATGGACAAAAAGCATAACCCAAGTAATCTATAAGATAACACTTTAAAGACAAAGACCAGTTGAAAGTAATTGATGGAAAAAGGTAGAGCATGAAAACTGTAAGCAAAGGAAGGTCACAATGACTATACTATTATCATTTTAGGTAATCTTCCAGACAAAGAATATTGACAGAGATATAGAGGTGCATTTCATAAGGATAAAAGGGCCAATTCTTATGGAAGATATAACAGTGACAAATGTGTGCATGCCTTATAGCAGATTCAAAATACAGAACAAAAATTAACAGAATTAAGGGATAAATAGACAAAAACACAAACTTAGTTGGATATTTTTAACATCCCCTCTCAACAATTGCTAGAATTAGACAACAGTCAATAAATATCTTTTATAAAAGCTGAACAACACCATTGACCCAATTGACTTAACTTATATTTATAGAACACCACATCCAGCAAATGCAGCTATATATATTCTTTTCAGGTGCTGATGGTGCATTCACCAAGACAGATCATAACCTGAGCCCAAAATAAGTCTTATTAATAAATTTAAAAGGGCTGAAATCATACAGAGTATATTCTCAGACCACAATAGAATTAAATTAAAGATCAATAGCAAGATAGTAGGAAATACTAAATATTTAAGTTATGGATCAAAGAAATCATGAGAGAAATGATAAAAAAAATTAAAAATGAATGATTGTAAACATTCAGCATATCAAAAATTGTAGAGTGCTGCCAAAACCAGAGTAAATGATAACTTTAAATAACTAGTAATTTAAATAATTAAATTAATAGAAAAGAAGAGAGGTCTAAAATTAGTGACCTAAGGTTCCACCTTAAAAAGCTAGAAAAAGGAACAAAATAAACCTAAAGTAAACAGAATGAAAAAATAAGAAAAATCAGTGAACTAGAAAACAAAGAGAGAAAAATGAACAAAGCTGAAGTTGGTTCTTTTTTCTTCCTTTTCTTTTGTAATTTTAAGTATATTTTATTAATTATGATATTACAGTTGTCCCAGTTTTTCCCTCTGTGCTCCCCTCCTCCCATTGCCCCGCTTCCTTCCAACAATCACCCCCCTTAGTTCATGTCCATAGATTATACGAGTAAGTTCTTTGGCTTCTCCATTTCCTCTGCTGTTCTTAACTTCTCCTTGTCTATTTTGTTCCTACCAATTATGCTTCTTAATCCCTGCACCATATCCCCATTCTCCCCCTACCTCCCCCAGCTGATAACCCTCCAAATGGTCTCCATATCTATGATTCTGTTCCTGTCCTGGTTATTTGCGTAGTTGTTTTTGTTTTTGTTTTTAAATTCAATTGTTGATAGTTGTGGATTTGTTGCCTTTTTAATGTTCATGATTTTGATCTTCTTTTTCTTAAATAGGTTTCTTTAACATTTCTTGTAATAATGGCTTGATGGTAATGAAATCCTTTAGCTTTACCTTGTCTGGGAAGCACTTTAACTGCCCTTTAATTCTAAATGATAGCTTTGCTGGATAGAGTAATCTGGATTATAGGTCCTTACTTTTTATCACTTTGAATATTTCTTGCCATTCCCTCCTTGCCTACAAAGTTTTTTTTTGAGAAATCCCCTGATAGTCTTATGAGACCTCCTTTGTAGGTAACTAACTTCTTTTCTCTTGCTTCCTTTTAAGATACTCTCTTTATCTTTAACATTTGGTATTTTAATTATGATGTGTCTTGGTGTGTCCTCTTTGGGTCCAACTTCTTTGGGAATATCTGTGCTTCCTGAACTTATATGTGTATTTCCTTCACCAAACTAGGGAAGTTTAATTTCATTATTTTTTCAAATAAGTTTTCAATTTCTTGCTCTTTCTGTTCTCCTTCTGGCATCACTATGATTCAGATGTTGGCACATTTGGAGATGTCCCAGAGGTTTCCTACGGCTCTCCTCATTTTTTTGAGTTCTTGTTTCTTCTTTTTGTTCTGGTTGAATGTTTTTCTCTTCCTTATGTTCCAAATCATTGGTTTAGTCCTGGCTTCCCTCCCTTTCTCTGCTGGTTTCCTGTGGATTATTCTTTATTTCACTTAGTGTAACCTTAATTTTTTCCTTTATTTTTTTTGCCATACTCAAGGAGTTCTCTGAACATCCTGATAACCTGTGTTTTGAACTCTTCATCTGATAGGTTAGCTATCTCTGTTCCACTTAGTTCTTTCTCTGCGATTTTGTTCTGTTCTTTCATTTGGGCCATATTTCTTTGTCTCCTCGATTTAGAAGCCTCCCTGTGTTTGTTTCTGTGTAGCAGAGAAATCTGCTTTTTACTCCCTGTCTTATTGGTGTGGCCTATGTAGAAAAGGCATCTGTAAACTGTGTGTGGTGGAGCCTTAGGTAATTGCCAGGGTGGGGCAACCTGCTTCATTGCTTTGTGGCTATGTGGGGAGGGCTCAGAAAGGGGACAATGCCACCACCTGGCTTCTGGCGGTTTGCCCAGTGCTCACCCCATTTCTAGTCACTACATCCCCTTCCCATGTGTGACTGGCACCCTTCCAGGTGCTGCCTCAGTGGTGAATCCCGGAATGAATAGGTTTGCATACGTTCTAAGGCTTTGCTCACCCTTTATGCCAAATAATCCAGCAGTTTATTCTGCTGCCCCAACCCCCACTGGTTTTTACAGCCAGAGGTAATGGGTATCTATCTTTGCAGTGCTGAAACCCTAGGCTGTGCAATCTGCCCTGTGGTTGGGCTCACTCACTCCCAAGGTATCCCTCCTGTCTTGCCACCGCCTTTCTGTGGCACACTGCCTCTCCACCCGTCTCTGCAACTTGGCCCCTCCTACCCATCTGGGTGAATTTGTCTTCTTTAAATTCTTAGTTGTCAGACTTCCATGCAGCTCAATTTTCTGATGGTTCTGGGTGTTACTAGTTTTGAGATCTGGTTGTAATTCTTTCTATGGTTGTGTGAGGAGGCAAAGCATTTCTATTTACGCCTCCATCTTGACCAGAAGTCCCCTGGTTCTTTTTTCTTATATTCACCAAAGGACATGCTTTTTGATTTTAGAGACAGTGGAAGGGATGGAGAGAGAGAGGGAAAGACATATCAATGTGAGAGAGAAACATTGATCAGTATACACCCAGTCTAGGAGACCAAACCTGCAACCTAGGTATGTGACCTGATCAGGAATCAAACCTGTGACCTTTTGGTTTACCTGACAATGCTTCAGCCAAGTGAGGCACACCAGCCATGGCCCAAAGTTGGTTCTTTGAAAAATATTAACAAAATTTATAAATTCCTTACTAGACTGACAGAAAGGTAAGACAATTTACCTACATTAGAAATGAAAAAGAGAATACCCTAATAAGAGAATACCATGAAATACAATACTGGTGTGTTTGTGGGGAGTGGGGTAACTTCACTTTTTACTTAATAAAATTCCTGTAAACCTATAACAATCAAAATAGTGGGATAATGGTACAAGGATTGACAGATTGATCAATGGTATAGGCTAGAAAATCTTGAAACAAAAGTATTTAGAATGTGATAAATATGGGATCCCAAAATAGTAGGGCTAAATTGGGTGTTCATCTTACATAATACAGCAGTAGAGGTTATAGATGCATTAAAGAAAAAAGTATTTACCCATAAAATTTTCACAGGAAATACAGATGGATCTTAAGACCTTAAGAGAAGGAAGGATTCTCTAAGTAACAATGGAAGAAGAGCCAAAAGAAAAAAATTTTTTAAAAATTTATTAATTTATTTTTAATGGAAGAGGAAAGGAGGGAGAAAGAAAGGGAGAGAAACATCAATGTGTAGTTGCCTTTCACGTGCCCCCAACTGGGGGCCTGGTCTGCAACCCAGGCTCTGAGTTGTGCCGTACTGGGAATTGAACCAGTGACCCTTTGGTTCACTGGCTGGTGCTCAGTCCACAGAGCCACACCATCTGGGGCCAAAAGAAAAATTTTAAAATTTGAGTTTGGTTACATACAAATGTTTATATGTTAAAAAAATTAAAGGCAAAATGATAATGTGATATTAAATATTTGTAATACTATGACAAAGGATTAATATTTAATATGTAAACAGCTTATATGTACCACAAAGAAAAGATACTGCCTCAGTAGAGATGTTGACAAAGTCCATTTAGTGAATAGATAATTCATGAAAATAAATTCAAATGATTTATAAAATGTGTGGGGGAAAAATAGCTTTCCATAATTGTCAAAGAAATGTAAATAAATCTATGCAAACAGTATTCAGTTGTGCTTTGTATTAGAAAAAAGAAACAACTTAATTATCCAAAATAAAAGGATGTTTGAAACTGCATGGTATGCCAATATGGAGGAATGTTAAAATGCCATAAAAAGAGTCAGGTTTTGGAAAAATAATGACATAAAAATGCTCATTATGCATTATTAAGATTTTTTTAAAACCAGAAAACTGTTGTCATGATTCCAACGGGCTTTGATAGCAAAACTTGATCTGAAGTGACATGAAGTTATCATACTTCCAATTGCTTTTATAGGCAGGAAAATAATACCAAGAACCTGGTTTGTAAAAAGCTTTCAGAATAAAGCAAAAGTTAATTAGAATTTTAGGTTATATTAATATTCCAAAGTAGGAGCTTCCTTTGTAAAATACATATAAACTAGTAATATTTTTATCTATTGCCAGCATCAAATCAATAAGCCTTATTTTAATATAAGTAAATGATGTTTTGAAGATAGATCTCTTAAGTACAATAGTGTGCTATATAGAATGTTGCCATTTCATCTACTCTAATTATGCTTATTAGAAGAACCAGGCTTTTGATTCAAATATAAATGCTGTATATACTGTTCTACTGATTTCATGAGTAATGTTGAATGGAAATTATTTTTCAGTTTAATGAACACTGTTCTGCAGGAAATTTAAATCCTCTCTCATCACAACAAGAAGTTGGTAAGTGATTGGTAGTTTGCATCTATATTCATGAGGGATATTAGTCTGTACTTTACTTTTCTGGTAGTGTCCTTTTCTGGCTTTGGTATCAAGGTAATGCTGGCCTTATAAAATGAATTTGAGAGTGTTTCCTCCTCTTTGATTTTTTGGAAGAGTTTGACAAGGATTGGCATTAATTCATGTTTAAATGTTTGGTAAAACTCACCAGTAAAGCCATCTGACCTTATTTGTGATTGTGTTATTAATGTCTCTTTATAGCTAAGGTATCTGTTGACATTAAAAACTCATATTTGACAAATGAAACAAATCAGAGAAAGACAAATACCATATGATTTCACCTATATATGAAATCTAAAAAACAAAACAAAGGAACAAACAAAACAAATTCATAGATAAAGAGAACAAATGATGGTTGCCAGATGGGAGGAGGGTTGGGACCTGGGTGAAAAAGGTAAAGGGATTAAGAAATACAAATCAGTAGTTACAAAATAGTCACAGACATGTAAAGTACAGCATCGGGAATATAGTTAGTAATATTGTAAAACAACAAATGGTTTCAGGCGAGTGCAAGACGTATCAGGATGATCACTTTTTAAGTTATATAAATGCCTAACAGCTATGCTGAACACCTGAAACTGATATAATATTGAATGCCAACTGTAATTGACAAGAATTTTAATTTAAAAAATAAACAAAAAAAACCCTCAGCATATCTGAAACCAAACTTGTTCCCTTTTTTATGTACCATTATTCTAGTTGCCAAGACTTAGAATATCAGTGATAATTTTACTTTCTCTGTCTTTGAATATATTCAGCTTGTCATCAAGTTTTATTAATTCTCTCTGAAATATTTATTTCTGTTCTTTTCTGTTTTCATTGAAACCATATTTCAGATTCATTTCCATTCACTTGGGCTATTGCAGTAACATTGTAATTAGTCTTTTCCTCCTTTCATCTTACCTGTAGATCACAGTCCAATTAATCTTCCTTACGCATGGTGTTGACCACCTCATTTCCATAGTTAAATACATTAAGTGACTCCCCATCGTGTATCAACTTATGCTTCTTCTTTTCTAACCTAGCTCCCAAATACCATTTAAGCTTTCCTCTTATAAGAGTAATCTGTGCTTTGTCCAGACTGAAGAACTCATTGCAAACCAAGTATGTCCACACTTTCTTCTCCCTGGTGTCCTCAACTTCATCTCTTTCTAACCATCTTTTCAAGACCCAGTTCTCTTCCATACAAACTTTTATTTTCCCCTTCAACCTTCTATTCCAAAAATATCTCTCCTTCACTTTCCTGAACATTTCTTTTTAAAATACTTTTTTGCATTCTATCACCTGTCATTATTTATCAAGGTCTATCTGGAAAAAGTCCATCCATTATATAATGTTAATATAATGAGAATGGTTTGCATGACATTGATGTAACTGGCAGCCAAGGTGAGTGGACTGGAATGCGCATGCGTGAACAATGATAACTTCACTGTACTAGTCAGTGGGGGTGGTAGACGCTGTTGAGTGAGCGTGTGTACTGTGTGGCAGTCACATTCAAAATGAGCAACTAGGGCAATGATTCTGCAAAAAAATTTGCGTTAAGCTTGAACATTCTTCCCTGTAAACTATTGGGATGGTTCAGAAAGCTTTGGGGGACAATGCACAGAGTGCAGCACAAATAAAAGTGTGGCACAAATGCTTCAAAGATGGTCAGGAATCTATTGAAAGTGATCTAGGTTCTGAAAGGTCTGCAATAAGCAGAACACCTGAGACCGTTGAATGTGTATGGGCTGCAATCAACAAAGATCAGCGACTGACAATGTGAGAACTAGAAGCTGATCTGGGGATTCCAAAAACTACTGTGTCCAAGATTTTGACACAAGAACTTGACATTAAATGTGTCATGGCAAAATTCATTCCACAGCTTCTGCTACCAGAGCAGAAGGAATATCATGCTGCAGTCACTAATGACTTGATTGAAACCACTTACAATGATGCTGGGAAAACTGTGTGAGGTCCCAAGGTGCATACTTTGAAGGGGACTTAGGCGTCATTGTCCTGTGTACAATGTCTCTTATATCTTCCTCAAGAAATGCCTCTATTTTCCATATTACATGGCTGGATAGTTTCTGGACAGGCCTTGTATATAAAGTCTCTTCTAACCACAGGTTATTTGAAGTCATGTGTACTGAAGTCAATGGAAAAATAAAGTGAGAAAGGGAGAGGGGAGTACTCAAGTATCTGTAATCAATCCATCCATTCACCCACCCTACTGCTGGTTGGCTCAGATTTATTTAGGGTGAAATAATAGATGTTTAAAACTATCTGAAATTACTAAGTGGCACAAAGTAAATTGTTTTGCCTAATGTACTCATTGAATTAGTTCTCTATGGAAAAATATAGGTGCTTTAAAAGACTTGTTTCAAGTAGATGACTATATATTTTAAATTAACAATTAAAATTATAATTAAGATGTTGAAAATATACTATAGTCTTAAATAATAAAATGAATGAAAAATAATTTTTTCCTTAACAACTCTGGAGTCATCAACCAAATAATTTTTAATGTCAAGTTGATTTTAAAAATCCCTTTTAAAACGGTAGCACCCTTTTCACTGTTGACTTATGCAATGTCTCTCAGACCCACCATTTCTTTTACTTTCCCTTTACCATTCCCTTTACTGTGACTTTAGGTGAAGCCCAGCTTTCATCATCTCTTTTCTATTATTCCCTCTTATAAACACTCTCTCGTTCCAGCCCTTCTGCACATTCTCTTCTGAATAATCCTTATATAAAGAAGTACAAATCTTGTCATATCTCTGCTTGAAAATATTTAATGACTTCCTGTTATCTACCAAAGTCCAGATTCTGTATTTGGACATTCATCAGTTTTTCCAAGCTCACCTTCATTAATTCCATTTTAATAACTCTTTATTATTTCTCACTGCTCCTGACAAGCTGAATTTATTTCTGTCATCCTTATATTTCCAATGCACACCTGTTTCTGTGCCTCTGTGCTATGCTCTCAACTCAAGGTCTTTGCCCCTCCTTCTATCTTATATACTAGTTCTTTATATACCTGAGTTCAAATTACTTCAAAGTAGAATTTATGTTTGAATCTGTATAACCCTCCATAATAAAAAGGACAGTGCTTTGCACAGGAGATGAATATAGTTAAATATCTTCATGACAGATAAGTGATTCAATGTTACCATATGTACTGTATGCAATATACTATAATATAGTAGGTTATACAAATTATGTAACATGAATAGCATGATATTGTATATATATTTTCTTCAGGAAACTTATTTGGGAAACCAGAAGGAGAAGATGCCTTTACATTTTCTTTTCCATCAGATTCTTCAACTCATACTTTTGGAGCTGGAAAAGATGATTTCAGTTTTCCATTTTCATTTGAACAGGATCAAAACTCAACACCTCCTTCTTCTGTAAAAGGTTTTTCATCTTCCTCACAAAATACAACTCAGTTTACTTTTTTTTGAACTAATTACTAATTTCTTGAATTATTTTACTGCTCTGTAATCTTCTAGGGTAAAAATTTACATTATTAAAATATGAAGGCTACTTTTTGTTGATTAAAGCAATTATGGGTTATCATAGTTATATAATTTGATTATATTATTTAAATATTGAAGGAAATTAAGCCTATGTCATTTAATTTTGTTTTTATTGTGGTATTAGCTATTACCATTATTTTGGTTTTAATTTTGCAAGCCATATTCAGCAGAACTTTTATTAATATTAATAGAATTTGATGCTTTTTCCATTAATCTTTATTGTTAATGTTAAGTCTGTTTCTCCATACAACCTAAGTTTTATTATGGTAGTATTTTAGGTGCTTTGATAAGGACAAGGACTCTTTCAGGCCATCAGAAGACCTTTTAAGCAGTAACTGTACAGAATTAATGTAGAGGTACACTTAGTTCTTTAGCTACTGAAAAATGCTGTTAAAATTACTGTGTTTCACTTATGCTTTACCATCACAACATAAATAGTAATACCTTAACAGTAATCTCAAAGAATTTATGTTACTGATAGTGTATATGTGTTTTCTTCTAATACAACAAGTAATAAAATTCTAATTTGGTCAGTTTTTCCAATATCTTTAGTGGGAAAAAAATGAAATGTGAAACACCAGTTTCTGAAAATTGGATTGTTGTCTTGATGGTGATACTGTTAATGTATTTTTTTGCTTAAGTCTTTTTGAAGACTATTTAAAATTTTGTTTTCTGTCTTCAACAAAAATTTATTTTTTATGCAGCATTCACTTGTTAATCAGTTACATAGCTTAAGTGAAGATATTTAAAAGTTTATAAAATGATACAAACATATTGCTCAATATCTTTGTATTTTGTGTTTTTTAAATTAGTTGTATTGAGTTATTAAATAATAAAGAACCTGACTCTATATTTTGTATTTTAAGAGCCTAACTCTGTTTTCTTCCCCTTCTGTCCTACGTCTGGTCAAGCTGTTAAGAAAAGCCGCGTGTTCCCTCCTTTGGCACCAAGTTAAAACCATCTATAGAAACTCTTGCCCCTGCCCCACCCCTAACAATGTAAAAACCGAAAGCCAGTCTCCTTTCTTTGCTCTCTCAAGCCATTTTCAGACATGCTTGGAAGGACTGGCCTTCTCTTCCCAGAAGAGCATTATCACACAGGTAACATACCCTACTGGAGTGTGTTTGGTGTTGTCTCAATGTCACAGGCAAATTTTGAGTGAGAGTCCACCTTGTTTCTTCAAAGTGTTTACAACATATCAAATTGTATTAAATTAAGACTTCTCAAAGACTATTTTTAGAAGTAAATAATGATAGAATTTAAGAGAACTTTAGACTGTGTTTTTTTTTTTTAAATCCTCAACAATGGTTGAAAGATGAAAAGTTCAGTTAAGCTGGAGTTCTTATATCAAGTGTTTATTTTTTTGACCCTACAATTGAATTAGCTGGTAGTTTTGATAAAATAAAAACATTGACTGTATATGAGAAAGAAGAAAAATGTAATTGGTTTACATTTGTTATTTATTAAGAGGTTCAAAACTGGTTTAAGCCTTGAGACACGTAGTTATTACATGGTTTATTCTTACTTTAAATAAATGCCTACCACACTAGTATAGTTAGATTTATCATGTATAAATAAGAGAGGAAAATACATATTTTTAAAATATCTACAGTGTGCATTTTGAGGGCATATAGAAGAGCTAAAAATAGTCTTTTTAATTGAATTTATTGGGGCGACATTGTTTTGCAAAACGATACAGGTTTCAAGTGTACAACTCAATAAAACATCATCTGCACAATGCATCCTGTGCCCATCACCCCAAGCAAAAGACTCTTTCTGTAAAAAAACATAACCTTATACTTGTATTTGAGATGACAAATTTATTTGAGAAGACAAAACTTATGAAACAACCCTTACCAGAGTGTCTCAGTTCATTTAGCATCATCCCACAAAGCAAAAGGTCACCAGTTCGATTACCCATCAGAGCATGTGCCTCAGTTTCTGGCCCCATACCTGATTGGTGTGTGTGTGTGAGAGAGAGGCAACCAATCCATGTTTCTCTACACATCAATGTTTCTCATCCTCCCTTTCTCCCTCCCTTCCCCTTTTTCTAAAAATCTTAAAAAGATTAAACAAAAATATTACAATAAAGTAGTTTATAATTAAATTTGGTAGTGTATAACTTGATCTGTGGTAAGGAAGAGATTGAGTACTTTTAAGAATCATAAAAGGAAAGATCATCATGAAATGGAAAGCCAGGAAGGATTTATTGGAGAGATAGGTTTTGAATTAGGACTTTAAATGTAGGTAGATTATGAAATTCTTCAGTGTAAGGTTGATGCCTTTTTTAGCTTTGAATTTTTTTACTGCCTAACTTTAGGGGAAAGTGCTTAGTAGGATTTCATTAAGTGCTTCTTGAATTAATAAAATTGACAGGATTGATAAAGGAGATAGGAAGGGCATTATAGGTAAGGGGAATAATATGAGCAGAAGAAAAAATGCAACCACCAATTTAGTATGTGTGGGGGAAATACAGAATAGGCTTAATTGAAGTAAAGAGTAAGAGTAAGAAATTGAGTTTCATAGATATGATAGGACTGATTTATAGAGGATCTTCAAGTGTTTTGATTTCTGAAGCCAATAAGGAACTTATATCCTAAATGCCACAGTAGCAAAAGAAAAGGATTAGCTAAGAGAGATTAAGTTGACAGTACAGTCAGAGGAAAAATTAAACCAGTTAGGAGGCAATTGCAGTAGTCTAGATATGTAAATAAGCACATGAAAAGATGCTGTATATTTCATCATAAATGCAAGTTAAAGTACAATAACATCAAGATGCCACTACATACCTATCAGAATGGCCAAAATCCAGAACATTGTCAATACCAAATGGTGACAAGGCTGTGGAGCAACAGGAACTCCCATTCATTGCTGTGGGAATGCAAAATGGTATAGCTCCTTTGAAGGACAGTTTGGTAGTTTCTTACAAAACTAAGCATATTCACACTGTATGATCCAGCAATAGCACTTTTTGGTGTGTACCCAAAGGAGGAGAAAACTTAGGTCTACACAAAAACCTGAATGTGGATGTTTAAAGCAGCTTTATTTATAATTGCCAAAACTTGGAAGTAACCAAGATGTTCTTTGTAGGTGAATGGATAAGTAAACTGTGGTACATGCAGATAATGGAATATTATTCAATGTTAAAAAGAACAATTAAGCTATGAAAAGAAGGAAACTCAAGTGCATATCGCTAAGCGAAAGAAGATAATCTGAAAAGTCTGCATACTGTGTAACCAATTATACAACATTCTGGAAAAGACAAAACTATGAAGACAGTAAAAAGATTAGGGGTTAGGAGGGAGGAAAGAAAGACTAGGCAGAACACAGAGGATTTTAAGGTAGCAAAAATACTTTGTGATACTATAATGATGGATACATGTCATTATTAATTTATCAAAACCCATAGAATGTACCACATAAAGGGTGAACCCTAAGGTAAACTATGGACTTGGGGAGATAATGTGCCAATGTAGAAGCACTGAGTGTAACAAAATGTGCCTCTCTGGTGGTGAATGTTGATAATGGGGAAGGCTGTGCATGTGTGGAGGTAGGGAGTATATGGAAAATCTCTGAACCTTCTGCTCAATTTTGCTGTGACACTAAAACTTCACTAAAAAAAAAAAAATCTATTAAAAAAAATTGATGAAAGGACAATTTAGACACCCTCCCCTCTTCACACACACAGAAAGCCTTAATTAAATTTTCTACTCTTTTGCTGATTGCAGGGTTGTAAATCCTTTTTTGTTAATAGAAAATATAAATTTTTTATTTCTTGTGACTGTTTAGATATTAGAATTTCAGAGGCCTAAACTGGCAGCTAACTAGAGCTTTAATAACTGCCCAGAGAAAGCATTAGTCATTTTGAAGTGGTATTATTATTTTAAAAATAACATTTTTCTGGTCTTTTGAAAAAATGAAGGAACAATCAGTATGTAAACCTGGGCGGCATGCTGATACTTTGAATTTTGATTGCTGCCATATAACTTGCCTTAGAAGCTGAATGGCTCATTTAGAAATATTCCCATTGCCTTGCTTTTATATTTTGCTTTTGATTTCCCCAAAGTTGACACAAGTCACATAGAATCAAATCTATATCCCTGCTGGATAGGCCTGTCCTAATAATTTCTGACTCACCCAGGTTGTTTGCAGCTCAGCAGTTGTTTCTAGATATATCACTTTGTATTCGGATGTTAACATCTTGCTAAGAACATGCCTTTTAAAACAGGATTTCTTTAATAGTGTACTTTTTTTTGTTTGATATGAGTATGATATTCTTTTTAGAACTTTAAGTTACCTTACTTTTTAGAAGCTAGTTCTTCCAAAGAATCAGCTCACTCTTTTATATTTTGGGTGTGTTTTAGGAAGTGTTTTTTTAACGAAGTATTCATAGCTCCAGACTTACGACTCACAAGCATGGCAGAGAAATGATGGATAGAGCATTGAATAGTGTGGGACCTGGTGTACTGTCTGGGCTTAAACACTGAGAGATTTATGCTAAAGTCTGAATCTTGGCCAACTATTTATCCATTTGCCTCAATTTCCTCATTTCCAAAGTGGGGCTGATGATCCAACCTATCAAATAGGATTGTTGGACTTGGTGTTTAGTTCATGGTAAGTGCTTGATTAATTGTGGTCTAATTTGGTTTAGAGATAGAGATTTTCATGCAAAACATGATAAGATAATGTGATGTTCAGCATTTTAAAAACATTAAGAAATACTAAACACATCAAATGATAGAGACATATTTTAAAATAACTTTTGGATCCTGTCCAATGACAAAGCAGGTATTCAATAGAAAGCTATTTTATATTAATTCAGTTTTACTGTGATCCAAATGGGTCTGAAAAATAACTACTTGCAAAAGTTGTGTGTGTTTTATTCTCGCCAAGGCAGTAAAGATTCTGTCTTCCAACATACCATA